CTTATCACTCTCCAGCACAGACTCTTTGTCTTGTACTGGCCATTCTTATCATCTCCTTTCATAGCCTATTAGTTCAGTCCTTGTACCAGCCTGAGATAATTAGTACTTTGGCTCTGCATTTGTTACAGAGAGAAATTCAGCATAATAGTACAGCATGGAACTGGTATTCATAACCTTTTACAATACCTATATCACTCTTATATCTATCTTAGAATCATAGAATATCAGGGTTGGAAGAGACCTCAGGAGGTCATCTAGTCCAACCCCCTGCTCAAAGCATGACCAATCCCCAACTAAATCATCCCAGCCAGGGCTTTATCAAGTCTCACCTTAAAAACTATTCTAAGGAAGGAGATTCCACCACCTCCCTAGGTAACACATTCCAGTGTTTCACCACCCTCCTCGTGAAAAAGATTTTCCTAATATCCAACCTAAACCTCCCCCACTGCGACCATTACTCCTTGTCCTGTCCTCTTCTACCACTGAGAAAAGTCTAGATCCGTCCTCTTTGGAACCCCCTTTCAAGTAGTTGAAAGCAGCTATCAAATGCCCCCTCATTCTTCTCTTCTGCAGAATAAACAATCCCAGTTCCCTCAGCCTCTCCTCATAAGTCATGTGTTCCAGTCCCCTCATCATTTTTGTTGCACTCCGCTGGATGTTTTCCAATTTTTCCACATCCTTCTTGTAGTGTGGGGCCCAAAACTGGACACAGTACTCCAGATGAGGCCTCACCAATGTTGAATAGAGGGGAATGATCACGTCCCTCGAACTGCTGGCAATGCCCCTACTTATACATCCCAAAATGGCATTGGCCTTCTTGGCAACAAGGGCACACTGTTGACTCATATCCAGCTTCTCGACCACTGTAACCCCTAGACCCTTTTCTGCAGAACTGCTGTCTAACCATTCGGTCCCTAGTCTGTAGCGGTGCATGGGATTCTTCCGTCCTAAGCTCAGGACTCTGCACTTGTCCTTGTTGAACCTCATCAGATTTCTTTTGGCCCAATCCTCCAATTTGTCTAGGGCCCTCTGCATCCTATCCCTACCCTCCAGCATATCTACCTCTACTCCCACTTTAGTGTCATCTGCAAACTTGCTGAGGGTGCAATCCATGGCATCCTCCAGATCATTAATGAAGATATTGAACAAAACTGGCCCAAGGACTGACCCTTGGGGTACTCCACTTGATACCGGCTGCCAACTAGACATGGAGCCATTGATCACTATCCATTGAGAACAACAATCTAGCCAGCTTTCTATCCACCTTATAGTCCATTCATCCAGCCCATACTTCTTTAACTTGCTGGCAAGAATACTGTGGGAGACCATGTCAAAAGCTTTGCTAAAGTCAAAGAACAACGCGTCCACTGCTTTCCCCTCATCCACAGAGCCAGTTATCTCGTTATGGAAGGCAATTAGATTAGTCAGGCATGACTGGCCCTTGGTGAATCCATGCTGACTGTTCCTGATCCCTTTCCTCTCCTCTAAGTGCTTCAGAATTGATTCCTTGAGGACCTGCTCCATGATTTTTCCGGGGACTGAGGTGAGGCTGACTGGCCTGCAGTTCTCAGGATCCTCCTCCTTCCCTTTTTTAAAGATGGGCACTACATTAGCCTTTTTCCAGTCATCCAGGACCTCCCCTAATCGCCATGAGTTTTCAAAGACAATGGCCAATGGCTCTGCAATCACATCCGCCAACTCCTTTAGCACTCTCGGATGCAGCAAATCCAGCCCCATGGACTTGTGCTCGTCCAGCTTTTCTAAATAGTCTCGAACCACTTCTTTCTTCACAGAGGGCTGGTCACCTCCTCCCCATGCTGTGCTGCCCAGTGCAGTAGTCTGGGAGCTGACCTTGTTCGTGAAGACAGAGGCAAAAAAAGCATTGAGTACATTAGCTTTTTCCACATCCTCTGTCACTAGGTTGCCTCCCTCAGTCAGTAAGGGGCCCACACTTTCCTTGACTTTCTTCTTGTTGCTAACATACCTGAAGAAACCCTTCTTGTTACTCTTAACATCTCTTGCTAGCTGCACCTCCAGGTGTGATTTGGCCCTCCTGATTTCATTCCTGCATCCCCGAGCAATATTTTTATACTCTTCCCTGGTCATTTATACAATCTTCCACTTCTTGTAAGCTTCTTCTTTGTGTTTAAGATCAGCAAGGATTTCACTGTTAAGCCAAGCTGGTTGCCTGCCATATTTACTATTCTTTCTACACATTGGGATGGTTTGTCCCTGTAACCTCAATAAGGTTTCTTTAAAATGCAGTCAGCTCTCCTGGACTCCTTTCCCCCTCATGTTATTCTCCCAGGGGATCCTGCCCATCAGTTCCCTGAGGTTGTCAAAGTCTGCTTTTCTGAAGTCCAGGGTCCGTATTCTGCTGCTCTCCTTTCTTCCCTGTGTCAGGATCCTGAACTCAACCATCTCATGGTCACTGCCTCCCAGGTTCCCATCCACTTTAGCTTCCCCTACTAATTCTTCCCGGTTTGTGAGCAGCAGGTCAAGAAGAGCTCTGCCCCTAGTTGATTCCTCCAGCACTTGCACCAGGAAATTGTCCCCTACAGTTTCCAAAAATTTCCTGGATTGTCTGTGCACCACTGTATTGCTCTCCCAGCAGATATCAGGGTGATTGAAGTCTCCCATGAGAACCAGGGCCTGCGATCTAGTAACTTCGATGAGTTGCTGGAAGAAAGCCTCATCCACCTCATCTCCCTGGTCTGGTGGTCTATAGCAGACTCCCACCACGACATCACCCTTGTTGCTCACGCTTCTAAACTTAATCCAGAGACTCTCAGGTTTTTCTGCAGTTTCATATCGGAGCTCTGAGCAGTCATACTGCTCCCTTACATACAGTGCAACTCCCCCACCTTTTCTGCCCTGTCTGTCCTTCCTGAACAGTTGATATCCATCCATGACAGTACTCCAGTCAGGTGAGTTATCCCACCAAGTCTCTGTTATTCCAATCACATCATAATTCCTTGACTGTGCCAGGACTTCCAGTTCTCCCTGCTTGTTTCCCAGGCTTCTTTCATTTGTGTATAGGCACTTGAGATAACTCGCTGATCGTCCCTCTTTCTCAGTATGAGGCAGGAGCCCTACCCTCTTGCGTGGTCCTGCTTGTGCTTCCTCCCGGTATCTCACTTCCCCACTTACCTGAGGGCTTTGGTCTCCTTCCCCCGGTGAACCTAGTTTAAAGCCCTCCTCTCTAGGTTAGCCAGCCTGCTTGTGAAAATGCTCTTCCCTCTCTTCGATAGGTGGAGCCCGTCTCTGCCTAGCACTTCTCCTTCTTGGAACACCATCCCATGGTCAAAGAATCCAAAGCCTTCTCTCCGACACCACCTGCATAGCCATTCTTTGACTTCCAGGATTTGATGGTCTCTACCCATGCCTTTTCCTTCTACGGGGAGGATGGACGAAAACACCACTTGCACCTCAAACTCCTTTATCCTTCTTTCCAGAGCCATCCACAGTGATCCGCTCAAGGTCATTCTCGGCAGTATCATTGGTGCCCACGTGAAGAAGCAGGAAGGGGTAGCGATCTGAGGGCTTGATGAGTCTCAGCAGTCTCTCCGTCACATCGTGAATCCTAGCTCCTGGCAAGTAGCAGACGTCTTGGTTTTCCTGGTCAGGGCGGCAGATAGATGACTCAGTCCCCCTGAGGAGACTCCCTGACCACCACCACCCGCCTCCTCCTCTTGGGAGGGGTGGTCGTGGAACCCCCATCCCTAGGACAGGGCATCTCATGCCTTCCAATCAGTGGAGTCTCCTTCTGCTCCCTTTCCTCAGATGTATCATCTAGTCCACTCTCCGCATTCGTACCATTGGAGAGAACATGAAAATGGTTGCTTACCTGTATCTGCATTGCTGGTATATGGACGCTCCCTTTTCTTCTTCTGGAGGTCACAAGCTGCCAAATTTCTTCACTGTCCTCCTGTCACTGCAGTGCAGCCTACTCTGAATCCTCAGAACATTGTGCCCGTAGAAGCATATCCTGACATCTGTCCAGGAAATCTTCAGTTTCTCTTAAGCAACGCAGGGTCGATACTTGTTTCTCCAGACCTTGAACCTTCTCTTCCAATATGGAGACCAGCTTGCACTTTGTAAAGACAAAGTCGCTTCTCTCCTGTGGAAGAGAGACAAACATGGCACATCCACTGTAGGTCACAACAGCTGAATGCTCCCCACGCATATTACCTTCCTTCTACGAGCTTCCTCAGGAGTTGTAGTAACTACTCAGAGAAGCCGTCAAGATGTAAGCCTCAGTGGGCTCTCCCCCGGGCGAACTCCCAGGCAAACTCACTCTGTTAGCCGCTCTGCTGTTCGCCGTGCAGCTGGTCCGCAGCTGACTGGCTTTTTATAACAGTGAGGCCCACTCAAGGCTCACCTGGAACAAAGCACTCCCAATTCACGCTTTTCAAACCAACAATCAAGCACACGGTCAAAGTGATAATCAAGGTGGGTATCACTACAAAAAGGTTTTCTTCCCCTCCTCCCCCCCCCCCCGCTCTCCTGCTGGTATTAACTCATCTTAAATGATCACTCTCCTTACAGTGTATATGATAGCACCCATTGTTTCATGTTCTCTGTATATATAAATCTCCCCACTGTATATTCGAATGAATGCATCCAATGAAGTGAGCTGTAGCTCACGAAAGCTTATGCTCAAATAAATTTGTTCGTCTCTAAGGTTTCCACAATACTCCTTTTCTTTTTGCGAATACAGACGAACACGGCTGCTACTCTGACCTTTCTTAGACAGTGATATCATTTTCCATGGCCACATAATCTAACTGAATATTTCTGGATGTGGTGGGGGTGATGACTGTGCACTGCATTGCTTTTGCAACTGGACTAAACTACACGCCTCTCTAAGCCACAGTAATTCCCCAGCTGCTTTTCCCCTTCCACCTTCCTGTGCGCACCTCTTGGTTCCCTGACAATGTGGCTTTGAACTGTCAATCTGTCTCAGGCGTGTTTGAAATGTCTCATTCCATTTCTCACAGGTTGAGGAGAAGCCTCCTCCCCGCACTGGTGAAGCAGTGGCTTCTAAACCACAACCAGAACCACAGGTAAAAAAAAAGGAGCAAGTGACACTTGGGAATTCTGCAGCCATTCACTAGGTCAGCGACCCATTGCCAGCCCCAAGTGATGCAGAGAGAGGACAGGGGAGCTTCACCCCTCTTCCATCTCCTCTGATTGTCAGTGTGTGTGTGTAAGGGAGAGGTTTGTGTGTGTGTGTCAAAAGGGGTGTGAGTACAATCCTGTGGTAATTCTGGTTTTTGTGGACTCTAATAGGCAACAATTTTTCTCCAACTCTCACAGGCCCCAGACCCACCACAAAGATCTCCTGCTTCTTTGTGTGATGGCCAAAAGGGACAAGAAGGAGAAACAGAGGTAAGGAGAGGGGAACGTGCAGCGACCCATTAGCAGCCCCAATTCAGTCAAGTAAGACAAGAGAGGAGCTTTACTCCCTTTCCACCACTACCACCTCTGACCATTACTGTGAGTGTTTAAGGGAAGGGGCGTTTGTATATGAGAGAGGTTGGTCAGCATCTTGTTTGTGCCCCACCAGTCCGTGCTAGTTGGCCCAGCCCAGAAGCAGAGCTCCACCGAGTGAGGCTGCTCCAAAGAAATGCCCTGGAGAAGTAACGTCTCTGTCAAGGTTCCTTCCCCACTCTGAACTCCAGGGTACAGATGTGGGGACCTGCATGAAAACCTCCAAAGCTTACTTTTACCAGCTTAGGTTAAAACTTCCCCAAGGCACAAACTATTTTACCCTTTTGCCCTTGGACTTCCACTGCCACCACCAAACTTTATCTGGGTTCCTGAAAAAACGTAGTTTGGACACCTCTTTCCCCAAAAATCCTCCCAACCGCACCCCACTTCCTGGGGAAGGTTTGGTAAAAATCCTCACCAATTTGCATAGGTGACCACAGACCCAAACCCTTGGATCTTAGAACAATGAAAAAGCATTCAGTTTCCTTACAAGAAGACTTTTAATAGAAGTAAAAAGGAATCACCTCTGTAAAATCAGGATGGTAGATACCTTACAGGGTAATTTTAGATTCAAACATAGAGAATCCCTCTAGGCAAACCCTTAAGTTACAAAAAAGACACACAGACAGGAATATTCATTCTATCCAGCAGAGCTATTTTCTCAGCCATTTAAAGAAATCATAATCTAACACATACCTAGCTAGATTACTTACTAAATTCTAAGACTCCATTCCTGTTCTGTCTCCGGCAAAAGCATCACACAGACAGACACAGACCCTTTGTTTTTCTCCCTCTTCCCAGCTTTTGAAAGTATCTTGTCTCCTCATTGGTCATTTTGGTCAGGTGCCAGCGAGGTTACCTTTAGCTTCTGAACCCTTTACAGGTGAGAGGATTTTTCCTCTGGCCAGGAGGGATTTTAAAGGGGTTTACCCTTCCCTTTATATTTATGATAGTCTCGATTTCAGCCTCCGGCTCCTCCTCCATTAGCTGTATCCCCATGGCAACAACAGCCCCTATGAAACCACAGAGACCAATCCATCTGCCTGAAAACCTAGTAGTTCATGTGCAGCCTCCTGGTGGTATTAATGACTGTCAGGATCACATGCTCGTGGCTCCTCCATGCTTTCTCATCCCAGTTCAAAACTGGCCCTGGCATAAGTAATGGATGCCAGAAGAGGAATGGTGGGAGTTTTATTTGGATGCCCAGATCCAGAATTCCCTTAGTTCCTGGTACACATGCCTCAATGTGCCATGGCAATAGTCCCAGTTCACAGCACCATGGGAATACTGAGTGGTTCACTTGAACAAGTGAAAATCTGTGTGGACAGAAGGATTAACAAGGAAGGTACCTCTATTAGGAAGATCAAATGATGTTAAACATTTTAACATAGGAATAGGCAAGGAGGGCTACAGGCCCCACAATTTTCTCTGTAGCCCTCCTCAGCCCGCCCCACTGGGAAATGTCTGTCGCCGTCCTGGTCAAATGACATCATCATTTATTGCTTCCAGTGCCATTGTGACTGGCTTCCTTAGACAGTGATCTCCTTTTCCATAGCCACATAATATAACTGGATATTTCTATGTGTGCGCGCATCTGTTTGTGCTCGCGCACACGTGCATAACATTGCCTTTGCATCTGGACTAAACTACATGCCTCTTTAAGCCACAGTAATTCCCCAGCCGCTTTTCCTCTTCCACTTTCCTGTATGCACCTCTCAGCTCCCTAACAATGTGGGGTTGAATGTTTTCCATCTGTCCCAGGCTTGTTTGAAATGTCTCATTCCATTTCTCACAGGTTCAGGAGAAGCCTCCTCCCCGCACTGGTGAAGCAATGGCTTCTAAACCACAACCAGAACCACAGGTAAAAAAAAAAGGGGCAAGTGACACTTGGGTATTCTGCAGCTGTTCAGTAGGTCAGCGACCCATTGCCAGCCCCAGGTGAGTCAGTAAGACAAGAGGGGAGCTCTACTCCCTTTCCTTCATTATTAACTCTGACTATTACTCTGGGTATTTAAGGGAAGTGGGGTTTGGATATGAGAAAGACAGGTCAGCATCTCGTTTCTGTCCCACACAGCCCTCAATGTGCCATGGCAACAGTCCCAGGTCATAGCACCACGGGAATACTGAGTGGTTGATTTGAATAAGTGCAAAACTGTGTGGACAGAAGGATTAACCAGGAAGGTACCTCTATTAGGAAGAACAAATGATGTGAACACACTTCAGTCCGATACAGTTAAATCACTGCTCTTCATGGGAACATATTAAATCAATGTAACATCACCGTGTAGACGTGGCCTAAAATAGGATTAAGGGCTGCATTTACACCACCTCTTAATATAATGAGGCCAGAAGCAAGGCTTGTCAGGATGAGGAAATTCCCCAAAAAGGATATTAAACATGAGTATGGAGTGCAGGTGGAAGCTAGGGTAACTTATTTTCCCATCAAAATGCTATCAACAAGCAAACCTCTCCGACAATTCTGATTCTAGAGGCCTCATGGTGTTCAGATTTTGATGACAATACAGCTGCCCTGTTTTATAACTCTTGCTGAAGTTCCTGGGCAAATTAGTAAGAGCCAGTTTATTCTTTTGGTTTAGATATTAATGAATACTTTGTCTAAAACCCCACAACCTCTGGATGACATCTCTTCTTAAGTCAAGAAACAAGATATTTTTGTCTTTTTAGAATAGTTTCATTCGCCCTTTCCCCCCACTTTAACTGTTAAGCATTTTAACCTAGGAATAGTCAAGGAGGCCTACAGGCCCAAAGAGTCTGTTGTTGCTCAGGAAAATGTTCCTCTCGAGCAAGCCCTAGGTAAAGAGGGTAAGAGCAGAATTTCTGTGAGGGGTGAATTGTTGCATAGAAAAGCCCTAGGGAAAGGAATCCTCATGGAGTATTTGCAAGCAGTTTACTGCAACTGAAGGGTGTGAAAGTGATTTAATCAAGAAAGTTTCAGTTCCTAATGGCCAGAAATTTTCTGTTGTGAATGGATCCACTGACTTTCCTGTTGAAAGACCCAGTGTGGATAGCTTTGAGAAGGTCTCAGAAGAAGTGAAAGCTGTTAAGAAAGTTAAACAGTCCTATAACCAAGTGGCTGTGTTTGGCCAGCTTGTTGGGGAGAAGACCCAATCCCAGTTTGACCCTCTGTGGTTTTGGGGTGGCCAAAGGGCACGGGCCGCATAAACCTTCCCACATGCGGTCTGCGAGTGCTATCGACCATCCCCAACCTAAGGGAGGGCTTGAAACTGGAAGGGCCTGATGTAACTCCTACAAAGGAATAGGAGAGATGCTGGGGCATCCATGGGAACGTTGGTGGTTTCGAACTTCCCCAGGTCACCGGCTAAAGTGACCCCGCTCAGTTCGATCTCGAAGGGGGGAGACATGTGATGAAGTGGGACTGTTCTTAGTGGTTCCTCTGAATAGTGTGGGGGTGCCTCAGTTTCCCCTATGCAGTTCTTAAGTATCTAGGTGGTGGGATAAGGGTGTATGATCATTGCAGAGCCCTACAAGGCAGGTGTGTGCAGGGGTCTGGACACAGAGAATGGCCAACACCCTGTTTCCTGGCAACTGATGGCCTGGGCCCTTCCCCCCTGCAAGGTGAGAGCTAAAGGGTTGGAGAACAAAGGAATCAGGTGACCTCCTGGCCCGGGAAAGGGACAAAGCCCAGAGGAGGAGGGGCTGGAGAGAGTTTCAGTTTGGGGCTGGCTGGGACATGGAGTGAAGTGCAGACGTGGTTGTCTGGCTCACTTCCCCCCCAAAATGGACCCAGCTGAGCGGTCCTGTTCTCTGCACCTGCAAACTCTGTTTTAGACCATGTTCCTGTTGTCTAATAAACCTCTGTTTTACTGGCTGGCTGAGAGTCACGTCTGACTGCAGAGTTGGGGTGCAGGACCCTCTGGCTTCCCCAAGACCCCACCTGGGCGGACTCGCTGGGGGAAGCGCACGGAGGGGCAGAGGATGCTGAATGCTCCGAGGTCAGACCCAGAAAGGTGGAAGCTGTGTGAGCTTTGTGTCCTGAAGACAGGCTGCTCACAGAAAGGAGACTTCCCCAGAGTCCTGACTGGCTTCATGGGGAGCAGTTCCAGAGCATCGCCCGGGGAATCCGTGACCACCTCAGCCAGCCCTACTGGAAAGTGTCTCTAGCCGGCCCGGTCAAATGACATCATCGTTTATTACTTCCAGTGCCGTTGTTACTGGCTTCCTGTGACAGTGATCTCCTTTTCCATAGCCACATAATCCAACTGGATATTTCTATGTGTGTGGGTGTCTGTTTGCTCGCGCGCAGGTGCATTGCATTGCCTTTGCATCTGGACTAAAGTACATGCCTCTCTAAGCCACAGTCATTCCCCAGCCGCTTTTCCCCTTCCACCTTCCTGTGCGCACCTCTCAGTTCCCTAACAATGTGGCTTTGAACTTTATCAGTCTGTCTCAGTTGTGTTTGAAATGTCTCATTCCATTTCTCAAAGGTTCAGCAGAAGCCTCCTCCCCGCACTGGTGAAGCAGTGGCTTCTAAACCACAACCAGAACCACAGGTAAAAAAAAAGGGGCAAGTGACACTTGGGTATTCTGCAGCTGTTCAGTAGGTCAGTGACCCATTGCCAGCCCCAAGTGAGTCAGTAAGACAAGAGGGGAGCTCTACTCCCTTTCCATCTATATCACCTCTGACCATTCCTCTGGGTGTTTAAGGGAAGGGGGGTTTGTATAAAAGAGAGAGATGTCAACATGTCTTTCCTATCCCTCACACCCCTCAGTGTGCCATGACAATAGTCCCAGGTCATAGCACCACGAGAATACTGAGTGGTTCATTTGAATAAGTGCAAAACTGTGTGGACAGAAGGCTTAACAAGGAAGGTACCTCTATTAGGAAGACCAAATGATGTGAACACACTTCAGTCCTATATAGTTAAATCACTGTTCTTAGAGGGAACAAATTAAATCAATGTAACATCACCGTGTAGACGTGGCCTAAAATGGGATTAAGGGCTGCATTTACACAACTTCTTAGCATAATGAGATCAGAAGTAAGGCTTGTGAGGATGAGGAAAATCTCTAAAAAGGATACTGAACATGAGTGTGGAGTGCAGATGGAAGCTAGGGTATCATAGAATCATAGAATAGAATATCAGGGTTGGAAGGGACCTCAGGAGGTCATCTAGTCCAACCCCCTGCTCAAAGCAGGACCAATCCCCAATTAAATCATCCCAGCCAGGGCTTTGTCAAGCCTGACCTTATAAACTTCTAAGGAAGGAGATTCCACCACCTCCCTAGGTAACGCATTCCAGTGCTTCACCACCCTCCTAGTGAAAAGGTTTTTCCTAATATCCAACCTAAACCTCCCCCACTGCAACTTGAAACAATTACTCCTTGTTCTGTCATCTGCTACCACTGAGAAAAGATCCATCTAGATCCATCATCTTTGGAACCCCCTTTCAGATAGTTGAAAGCAGCTATCAAATGCCCCCTCATTCTTCTCTTCTGCAGAATAAACAATCCCAGTTCCCTCAGCCCCTCCTCATAAGTCATGTGTTCCAGTCCCCTCATCATTTTTGTTGCCCTCCGCTGGACTCTTTTCAATTTTTCCACTTCCTTCTTGTAGTGTGGGGCCCAAAACTGGACACAGTACTCCAGATGAGGCCTCACCAATGTTGAATAGAGGGGAATGATCACGTCCCTCGAACTGCTGGCAATGCCCCTACTTATACATCCCAAAATGGCATTGGCCTTCTTGGCAACAAGGGCACACTGTTGACTCATATCCAGCTTCTCGACCACTGTAACCCCTAGACCCTTTTCTGCAGAACTGCTGTCTAACCATTCGGTCCCTAGTCTGTAGCGGTGCATGGGATTCTTCCGTCCTAAGCTCAGGACTCTGCACTTGTCCTTGTTGAACCTCATCAGATTTCTTTTGGCCCAATCCTCCAATTTGTCTAGGGCCCTCTGCATCCTATCCCTACCCTCCAGCATATCTACCTCTACTCCCACTTTAGTGTCATCTGCAAACTTGCTGAGGGTGCAATCCATGGCATCCTCCAGATCATTAATGAAGATATTGAACAAAACTGGCCCAAGGACTGACCCTTGGGGTACTCCACTTGACACCGGCTGCCAACTAGACATGGAGCCATTGATCACTATCCATTGAGAACAACAATCTAGCCAGCTTTCTATCCACCTTATAGTCCATTCATCCAGCCCATACTTCTTTAACTTGCTGGCAAGAATACTGTGGGAGACCATGTCAAAAGCTTTGCTAAAGTCAAAGAACAACGCGTCCACTGCTTTCCCCTCATCCACAGAGCCAGTTATCTCGTTATGGAAGGCAATTAGATTAGTCAGGCATGACTGGCCCTTGGTGAATCCATGCTGACTGTTCCTGATCCCTTTCCTCTCCTCTAAGTGCTTCAGAATTGATTCCTTGAGGACCTGCTCCATGATTTTTCCGGGGACTGAGGTGAGGCTGACTGGCCTGCAGTTCTCAGGATCCTCCTCCTTCCCTTTTTTAAAGATGGGCACTACATTAGCCTTTTTCCAGTCATCCAGGACCTCCCCTAATCGCCATGAGTTTTCAAAGACAATGGCCAATGGCTCTGCAATCACATCCGCCAACTCCTTTAGCACTCTCGGATGCAGCAAATCCAGCCCCATGGACTTGTGCTCGTCCAGCTTTTCTAAATAGTCTCGAACCACTTCTTTCTTCACAGAGGGCTGGTCACCTCCTCCCCATGCTGTGCTGCCCAGTGCAGTAGTCTGGGAGCTGACCTTGTTCGTGAAGACAGAGGCAAAAAAAGCATTGAGTACATTAGCTTTTTCCATATCCTCTGTCACTAGGTTGCCTCCCTCAGTCAGTAAGGGGCCCACACTTTCCTTGACTTTCTTCTTGTTGCTAACATACCTGAAGAAACCCTTCTTGTTACTCTTAACATCTCTTGCTAGCTGCACCTCCAGGTGTGATTTGGCCTTCTTGATTTCATTCCTGCATCCCCGAGCAATATTTTTATACTCTTCCCTGGTCATTTATACAATCTTCCACTTCTTGTAAGCTTCTTCTTTGTGTTTAAGATCAGCAAGGATTTCACTGTTAAGCCAAGCTGGTTGCCTGCCATATTTACTATTCTTTCTACACATTGGGATGGTTTGTCCCTGTAACCTCAATAAGGATTCTTTAAAATACAGTCAGCTCTCCTGGACTCCTTTCCCCCTCATGTTATTCTCCCAGGGGATCCTGCCCATCAGTTCCCTGAGGGAGTCAAAGTCTGCTTTTCTGAAGTCCAGGGTCCGTATTCTGCTGCTCTCCTTTCTTCCCTGTGTCAGGATCCTGAACTCAACCATCTCATGGTCACTGCCTCCCAGGTTCCCATCCACTTTTGCTTCCCCTACTAATTCTTCCCGGTTTGTGAGCAGCAGGTCAAGAAGAGCTCTGCCCCTAGTTGATTCCTCCAGTACTTGCACCAGGAAATTGTCCCCTACACGTTCCAAAAACTTCCTGGATTGTCTGTGCACCACTGTATTGCTCTCCCAGCAGATATCAGGGTGATTGAAGTCTCCCATGAGAACCAGGGCCTGCAATCTAGTAACTTCCGTGAGTTGCTGGAAGAAAGCCTCGTCCACCTCATCCCCCTGGTCTGGTGGTCTATAGCAGACTCCCACCACGACATCACCCTTGTTGCTCACACTTCTAAACTTAATCCAGAGACACTCAGGTTTTTCTGCAGTTTCATATCGGAGCTCTGAGCAGTCATACTGCTCCCTTACATACAGTGCAACTCCCCCACCTCTTCTGCCCTGCCTGTCCTTCCTGAACAGTTGATATCCATCCATGACAGTACTCCAGTCAGGTGAGTTATCCCACCAAGTCTCTGTTATTCCAATCACATCATAATTCCTTGACTGTGCCAGGACTTCCAGTTCTCCCTGCTTGTTTCCCAGGCTTCTTGCATTTGTGTATAGGCATTTGAGATAACTCGCTGATCGTCCCTCTTTCTCAATATGAGGCAGGAGCCCTACCCTCTTGCGTGGTCCTGCTTGTGCTTCCTCCCAGTATCTCACTTCCCCACTTACCTGAGGGCTTTGGTCTCCTTCCCCCGGTGAACCTAGTTTAAAGCCCTCCTCACTAGGTTAGCCAGCCTGCTTGTGAAAATGCTCTTCCCTCTCTTCGATAGGTGGAGCCCATCTCTGCCTAGCACTCCTCCTTCTTGGAACACCATCCCATGGTCAAAGAATCCAAAGCCTTCTCTCTGACACCACCTGCATAGCCATTCGTTGACTTCCAGGGTTCGATGGTCTCTACCCAGGCCTTTTCCTTCCACGGGGAGGATGGACGAGAAGACCACTTGCACCTCAAACTTCTTTATCCTTTTTCCCAGAGCCACGTAGTCTGCAGTGATCCATGCAAGCAGTATCATTGGTGCCCACATGGAGAAGCAGGAAGGGGTAATGGTCTGAGGGCTTGATGAGTCTCGGCAGTCTCTCCGTCACATCATGAATCCTAGCTCCTGGCAAGCAGCAGACGTCTCGGTTTTCCCGGTCAGGGCGGGAGATAGATGACTCAGTCCCCCTGAGGAGAGAGTCCCCAACCACCACCACCCGCCTCCTCCTCTTGGGAGTGGTGGTCGTGGAACCCCCATCCCTAGGACAGTGCATCTCATGCCTTCCAATCGGCGGAGTCTCCTTCTGTTCCCTTCCCTCAGATGTATCATCTAGTCCACTCTCCGCATTAGTACCTGTGGAGAGAACATGAAAACGGTTACTTACCTATATCTTCATTGCTGGTACATGGACACTCCCCTTTCTTCTTCTGGAGGTCACAAGCTGCCAAATTTCTTCATTGTCCTCTTGTCCCCGCAGTGCAGCCTACTCTGAATCCTCAGAACATTGTGCCCGTAGAAGCATATCCTGACATCTGTCCAGGAAATCTTCAGTTTCTCTTAAGCAACGCAGGGTCGATACTTGTTTCTCCAGACCTTGAACCTTCTCTTCCAATATGGAGACCAGCTTGCACTTTGTACAGACAAAGTCACTTCTCTCCTGTGGAAGAAAGACAAACATGGCACATCCACTGTAGGTCACAACAGCTGAACGCTCCCCATCCATATTACCTTCCTTCTACGAGCTTCCTCAGGAGTTGTAGTAACTACTCAGAGAAGCCGTCAAGATGTAAGCCTCAGTGGGCTCTCCCCGGGCGAACTCCCAGACAAACTCCCTCTGTTAGCCGCTCTGCTGCTCGCCGCACAGCTGGTCCGCAGCTGACTGGCTTTTTATAACAGTCAGGCTCACTCAAGGCTCACCTGGAACAAAGCACTCCCAATTCACACTTTTCAAACCAACAATCAAGCACACTGTCAAACTGTCCCCACAACAGACACTCAGATACTCACCAACACAGCCTCCTTAATGCAGCCCTTAGCGAACCTCCTCTCAGGCAGATCCCAGGCAAGCTCCTCTCTGTTAGCCTCTCTGCTGTTCGCTGTTCCTTTCCCATCACAATGCCGTCAACAAGCAAACCAATCCCTCTCACAATTCTGATTCTAGAGGCCTCAACGTGTTCAGATTTTGATAACAATACAGCTACCCCGCTTTTGTAACTCTTGATGAAATTCCTGGGGAAACTATTAAGAGCCAGTATATTCTCTTGGTTTAGTTATTAATGAATAGTCTGTCTAAAACCCCACAGTCTCTGGATGACATCTTCTTCTTCAGTCAAGAAACAAGAATTTTTTGGGGCCTTTTTTAGGATAGTTTCATTCCCCCTTTCTTCCCACTTTAACTGTTAAGCATTTCAACTTAGCAGTAGGCAAGGAGGGCCAAAGCCCCCACAATTTTCTGTTTAGCTCACCTCAGCCCGCCCCACTGGGAAGAGTCTATCGCAGGCCCCGTGAAATGACAACATCGTTTATTGTTTCCAGTGCCGTTGTTCCTGGCTTCCTGAGACACTGATGTCCTTTTCCATAGCCACATAATCTAACTTGGTATTTCTGTCTGTGCGTGTGTCTTTGTATGCTCGCGCGCACTTGCATTGCATTACCTTTGCATCTGGACTAAACTACATGCTTCTCTAAGCCACAGTAATTCCCCAGCCGCTTTTCCCCTTCCAATTTCCTTGCGCTCCTCCCAGCTCCCTAACAATGTGGGGTTTAATGTTTTCCATCTGTCCCAGGCATGTTTGAAATGTCTCATTCCATTTCTCACAGGTTCAGGAGAAGCCTCCTCCCTGCACTGGTGAAGCAGTGGCTTCTAAACCACAACCAGAACCACAGGTAATAAAAGGGGCAAGTGACACTTGGGAATTCTGCAGCCGTTCAGTAGGTCAGCGACCCATTGCCAGCCCCAAGTGAGTCAGTAAGACAAGAGGGGAGCTCTACTCCCTTTCCATCTATATCACCTCTGACCATTCCTCTGGGTGTTTAAGGGAAGGGGGGTTTGGATAAGAGAGCGAGAGGTCAACATGTCTTTCCTGTCCCTCACACCCCTCAGTGTGCCGTGACAACAGTCCCAGGTCATAGCACCACTTGAATACTGAGTGGTTCATTTGAATAAGTGCAAAACTGTGTGGAAAGAAGGCTTAACAAGAATGGTACCTGAATTAGGAAGACCAAATGATGTGAATACACTTTAGTCCTATATAGTTAAATCACTGTTCTTAGAGGGAACAAATTAAATCAATGTAACATCACCGTGTAGACGTGGCCTACAATGGGATTAAGGGCTGCATTTACACCACATTTTAGCATAATGAGATCAGAAGTAAGGCTTGTGAGGATGAGGAAATTCCCCAAAAAGGATATTGAACTTGTGTATGAAGGGTTCATGTTTAGCTATTCCACCTGGAAGCAGGCAGGGCACACCTTGACTGTTTTGTAGAAGCAATGCACACATTGCTCTATCCAAGGACAAGGGCTAGATATGAACCATGAAAACTTGATTGTTGGGACAGTAACTGCGGGAGGCTTTCTTAGCCTGGGCTCAAGGCCTGAGAACCAGGGTTGTAGTAGCTAAAAGATGCAACTAAGTATATTAATCAACGTCATACATTCTTTTGTGTATCTTTTTGCTGTAGCCGTGTGTAATGCTTAGGGGGGAGAAATATAATAAAAGGAGAAGGTGGAAGGCGGGGGGCAGAACGCCCATCTCAGCTGACCAGCCTGCTTTCTTGCATAAAGCTGTGTTCTGTCTCATCATTGAACTGCCACATGTGTATCTCTAACAATTCTGATTATAGAGACCTCAAAGTGTTCAGATTTTGATGACAATACAGCTACGCCCCTTTTGTAACTCTTTCTGAAATTCCTGGGCAAACTAGTAAGAGCCAGTTTATATTCTTGGTTTAGTTATTCATGAATAGTCTATCTAAAACCCCATGATCTCTCGATGACATCTCTTCTTCAGTCATGAATAAAGTTTTTTTTTTTCTCTTTTTAAGATAGTTTCATTTCCCCTTTCTGCCCACTTTAACGGTTATGCATTTTAACATAGGAATAGGGAAAGAGGGCCAAACCCCCACAATTTTCTGTTTAGCTCACCTCAGCCCGCCCCTCTGAGAAGAGTCTGTCACCGGCCAGGTCAAATGACATAATCGTTTATTGCTTTCAGTGCCGTTGTTACTGGCTTCCTTAGACAGATATCTCCTTTTCGATAGCCACATAATCTAACTAGATATTTCTCTGTGTGCGTGTGTCTGTGTGTACTCGCACACATGGCCATTGCATTGCCTTCGCATCTGGTCTAAACTACATGCCTCTCTAAGCCAGTCATTCCCCAGCCTCTTTTCCCCTTCCAACTTCCTGTACGCACCTGTCAGCTCCCTAACCATGTGTGGTTGAACATTATCAATCTGTCTCAGGCTTATTCAAAATGTGTCATTCCATTTCTCAAAGGTTCAGCAGAAGCCTCCTCCCCGCACTGGTGAAACAGTGGCTTCTAAACCACAACCAGAACCACAGGTAAAAAAGGGTAAAGTGACACTTGGGTATTTTGCAACCTTCCACAGGTCTGCAACCCCTTTCCAGCCTCAAGTGATGCACACAGAGGAGAGGGGACCTTCACCCGTCTTCCATCTCATCTGACTGTCACTCTGTGTATTTAAGGGGAGTTGTTTGTGTGTTTGCAAAGGGGTGTGAGGAAAATCCTGTGGCGATACTGGCCTTTTTGGTAACATTTTTTTCTCCAACTCTCACAGGCCCCAGATCTGCTCCAACGATCTCCTGCTTCTTTGCATGATTGCCAGAAGGAACCAGAAAGAGAAAGAGAGGTAAGCGGAGTGGAACATGACATTGCAGCTAAGGAAATAGTGCACAGTGACAGATTTAAACTGTTGGGGCGGGTTTCATTGCTGAAGGGTCTGGATTTGGCCACTGTCAGATTACGGTGCCCCATACAATCTACCTGTAGCAGATGGCACACACAGGTATATCTTGAGAACTTTTTATTTCAAATTATGAATGTTATCTGTGTTTGGCACAGCCCATGAAAGCATGAAAACTTCAAATGCTGCTGTCTTGAGATGGGCCTGTTGTTATGGAGCCACAGAATATTCACAGAGCTTTGTTTCAGTGGAGGTTATGTGCATTTGTTCTTCTTGGCTCTCTGGATGGGTTCTCTGTGGAATCTGGAACCACTAAGTCGTGGTTAATATGAGATCAAGGCAGTTTCTGCACACACTAATGTGTGGGAGACTGGGCATGGATGCGAGTGATCTGGCTGAAATCAATTTGCATAAGGCTGAGTTGATCCTGGTACGTTGGGGAAACTGTCAAAGGAGGTGGTGAAGATGATTTCTCCCCATTGGTTGACAATGTGACCATTTGTGACCTGTGTTGCATTTCGGTTATATGATTGTGCCCCTAGCTGCTCTTAGCTGGTGACTTAGTAGAAGGGCCGAGGGATGCATCTGACTCTGTCCAGGATTTTGTGAATGTTTCATTCGGATGCAGAACGCACTCCCATGGTCTGTGCCTTTGTCACCTCCAGACTGGGTAACTGCAACCTGCTCTTGATGTGGCTGCATCCTAAATCAAGCTAGAATTTTAAGGTGGTGTGAATGTGGGAATCAGATTATTAAGCAGTGCTGCCTGGGGCACTGCACTGCCTTCGGTTTCTGGTTTGACTATAAGGTGCTGGTTTTCACCGATAAAGCCAAGAAATGCTTGGGACTTTGCTGCCTGAGGCATTCCCTCATGCTGTGCTACCATAGCTGCGCTCAGAGGTGGCACTGAAGCTGGAGTTCCCTTCAATTTAAAAGAGAGAGAGTTACTGGCAGGAGGCACTGCAAGAGGTGACCTGAGCTCTGGAACAAGTCCCCCCTCCTCGAGCTGAAACAGTTTAATCCAGTGGTGGGCAAACTACAGCCCGCAGGCCAGATCCGGCCCGTGAGCCATTTTAAGCCGGTCTTCAGGCCGCACCACGCGGCTCAGCCCTGCTCTGACGCTTCAGCCTGGGTGCTGGGTTGGAGGCTACACCACGCGACTACCATAAGCCACGGCATGGCCCTGCTCCGGCTCCTACGTGCTCCAATGGGAGCTTCAGGGGCAGTGCCTGCACATGGGGCAGCTTGGAGAGCCGCCTGGCCGCGCCTCTGTGTAGGAGCCGGAGAAAGGACATGCCACTGCTTCCAGGAGCCGCTTGAGGTAAGTGCCGTTTGGAGTCTGCACCCCTGAGCCTCTCCCAATGCCCCAACCTCCTGCCCCAGCCCTGATCCCTCTCCTGCTCTCCAAAACCCTCAATCCCAGCCTGAAGCACCCTTCTGCACCCCAAACCTCTCATCACCAGCCGCACCCCAGAGCCCGCACCCCCAGCCGGAACTTGCACCCCTTCCCGCACCTCTTCTCCAGCCTTGATCCCCCTCCCGCCCTTTGAACACCTCGCTCCCAGCCCAGAGCACCCTCCTACACCCCAAACTTCTCATCCCTAGCCCCACCCCAGAGTCCGTATGCCCTCCCGCACCTCAACCCCAATTTTGTGAGCGTTCATGGCAATTTCTATTCCCCGATGTGGCCCTCGGGCCAAAAAGTTTGCCCACCCCTGTTCATCTGTTGATCTTTTGGGCATGTTGCTAATGGTCTCTCTTTGCAAAGACTTTTGGAAAGGAGGAGTCTTGGTGGAGATGAAGGATGTGAAGTTTTGAGGGAGTCTGAGTTGGGGGTTGAGCCATGTGGAGAGGAGCTATGCTTGTTAGCTGCTGATCTTACTGTTTCTCTCTGTCACCCCATGTTAAAGGTGCAGATTTTAAAGATGGACCTTTCTATTCATGTTTTTTTTTAATTGAAATTGTCATAAATATAAAGGGAATGGTAACCATCTTTATGTATACAGTGCTATAAAATCCCTCCTGGCCAGAGGCAAAACCCTTTCACCTGTAAAGGGTTAAGAAGCTCAGGTAACCTCGCTGACACCTGACCCAAATGACCAATGAGGGGACAAGATACTTTCAAATCCGGGGGGGGGGGGGGAAGGCTTTTGTCTGTCTGTGTGATACCTTTGCCGGGAACAGATCAAGGATGCAAGCCCTTCACTCCTGTAAAGTTAGTAAGTAATCTAGCTAGAAAATGCATTAGGTTTTTCTTTGTTTTGGCTTGTAAATTAGCTGTGCTGGAGTAAATGTGTATTCCTATTTTCTGTCTTTTTGTAACTTAATGTTTTGCCTTGAGGGATTCTTTATGTTTTGAATCTGACTGCCTGTGATATTATCGTCCATTCCAATCTTACAGAGTGTTTCTTTTATCTTTGTTTTGTTCTTCTAATAAAATTCTGTTTTTTAAGAATCTGATTGGGTTTTTAGGGTCCTAAGAAATCCAAGTTTGTCTGTGCTTAACTTGTTTATTCTCAAGCCTCCCCAGGAAAGGGAGTGTAAGGGCTTGGGGGGATTGCTGGGGAAGAGCAGCTCCAATTGTCCAAATTTTCCCTGGTTTTTTGTTAAAGCACTTGGTGGTGGCAGAATACCCTAGTCTAAGGGCAAGATTTTGTGCCTTGGGGAAGTTTTTAACCTAAGCTGGTAGAAATAAGCTTGGGGGTCTTTCATGTGGGTCCCCACATCTGTACCCCAGAGTTCAGAGTGGGAAAGGAACCCTGACAGAAATAAAGATATGCAGTTCAATGATTGATTATTATTCTTTATCTTTGCTTTTCAAACACAGGTTAAAGAAAATCTTAGCAAAGAAAAAACAGGATAATAGTGGAGATACTTCAAGAATTTAATTGATTTTACCAGAACAAAGTTAATGTGTGTGTCTATTATTCCCCAAATTGTGTTGAAGTTGTACTGCCCCAGCTTCTCTCAATACAGGAGCATTGTTCAGGGATTTGCATGATCACTATATGACTGTTTTTACCATGGTTGGCTAATTTAAAAAGAATCTCAACCATCATAATTCACAACAAAAAAGCCAACCACCAGGATGCTGCATAATAGAGGATTTAAAATATTTACCTCATTCTTATAGACTAGATATTAAACTATTGGTAGTAGTTGTATGATTATTGCTATTACAATATGCATTATGTGCAATTCAGTAGCACCTAGAAGTCCCAGTCATGGACTAGGACACCATTGTGCTAGACATTGTACAAACACAGATCAAAAAGACAGTCCCTCCCCCAGAGAGCTTCCAATCTAAGTATAAGACAAGAGACAACAAATGAACACAGAGAGATGGGGACTACAAGGAAATAATTAGGCAGTATGGTCAGCATGCGGTGGCTCTGCAACAGTTTATGGATAGTGCCTCTCAAGCATGGGAGGCAGCACGGAGGTGCTTGTTTGAAAATTTAACAAGTGGGTGACAGGATGGGATCATAGGCCAATTGGAAGTGTGAGTCGACTGTTTGATACTGAATGAGAGGTGATAGGTAGGGTGGGGATAGGCCATGAAAGGCCTTGGAAGTAAAGTCAATCAGTTTATGTTCAGTGTGATAGAAAATGGGGAGCCAGTGAAGGGACTCAAACAGAGGGTCGACATGGCCAAAGTAACGGGCTAGCATTCTGAATGGAGATGAGTGGGCCAAGATTGCATTTGTTAGGGCCAGAGAGAAGGATGTTGCAGTAATCAAGATGTAAGATGTTGGGAGCCTGGATGAGCATTTTAGCTGTGGATGGAGAGGAAAGGCCTATCTTGAAAATGTTCTGCAGAAAGAACCAGTAAGATTTAGATATAGCCTGGATGTGAGGACTTAGCCCTGGTCTACACGGGGGGGGGCTGGGGGGAGATCGACCTAAGATATGGAACTTCAGCTACGGGAATAGCGTAGCTGAAGTCGACGTATTTAGGTTGACTTACTGCAGCGTCTTCACGGCGCTGAGTTGACTGCTGCCGCTCCCCCATCGACTCCGCCTGCACCTCTCGCGGCAGTGGAGTTCCGGAGTCAATGCGAGAGCGCTCGGGGATCGATTTATTGCATCTAGACTCGACGCGATAAATCAACCCCCAATAGATCGATCGCTACCCGCCGATGCGGCGGGTAGCGTAGACCTGCCCTCAGAGAGTGATCTGAGCTGAAGATAGTATGTGCTTGAGTGACTGGCAGGAGGGGGCAATATCCACAGTGGTTGAGAAAAGGGGGTGGGAGGAGGCTTGAGGGGGAAGATTAGGAGCTCTGTTTTAGCCCTGTTGAGATTAAGCTGATGGCTAGACATCCACAAGGAGATGTCAGAGGCTGAGATTTCAGTCTTGACAGAAGGAGAGGGTAGATCTGTGAGTCGGCAGCACAGAGACAGTATTTGAATTTGTAGATGGACCATTGTTTTTGTGTGGTGCAGCAGAGGGATGCTAGGGTGGCAGGGCCCACTGGTGTGATCTGAGGTAGCAGGAGGTGCTCTGGGTGATACCTGCTGAGATGGGCCCATTAGTTTGATCCAGTGTATCAATTCCTATCTTCCTGTTCTGAATCTGCCAGGGTACTGCCCCTCTGAACTCCCATCCCTGCACTTTCAACAGACATGCACGTGTCAATTTCTGATCCCGGCCCACCCGGTAACCCCATCTGGCTCAGGGAACTAATGCAGTTTTAAAAAGAATTACTGTTGAGTGGGATGGGGGAAGGGAGATGTAGGCTTCTTCTGGGAGTGCAAGGAAGCTGTGGTGGGAGCAGATATTGAGGAGGCTGTAGTTAGCTGGGGTGCCAGGGTGAGGAGGAGGGATAAAATGAGATAACCGTGCTTGTTGTGGGTATTTGTCTGTTGTGGGCAATCTGCAGCCCGGGGGCCGCACACGGCTCGTCAGGGTAATCCACTGGCGGGCCGCAAGATGGTTCGTTTAC